TCGCCTATTTTTGCTTTGGCACCACAGCGCCACTTACAGGCCTGGCATACATTTTGCAGCGTTTTCATGCATTCGTGTGGACGATCACATTTATTTTACGTCTCCGTCTTTACGACAAACGTTCTGGAAAATATTAGCGTTTTGTGTTCGTTTTGACTTCGTGTGGACGGGGCATCAGACCGAGCGAGGTGTCTGTGGTGATTTCTGTGAGCCTTGCATGGAGTTCACACCTCTGCATTTCACATGCAGTGTTTTCACCCTGGGCGTTATCACATAGGAGGAGCCTCAGATGGGTAAGGCTGAAACCCCACTGACGGGAAAAAAAACTCAGCAATTGACTGAATGGTTAAAGCTTCATCAGTGAAGGTTTGTGCATTTAAATGGTCATTCATAAAAATAAAAAAAATTTAAATACTCCAAAAAGAAGATCATATGTGCTACTGTTGTTTCAGAGATATTACCCAGAGATCAACTATTCCCCCATTAAACTTCAAATTGAATCAAAATGATGTAGCCTACGTTTGTGCTAATTTGTTTTTAAAATAGAATCATTATTAAGTGACAAAGTTATTCCCTAACATCACATGTCATTCCTGTGCTGGTAATAGATATAACAGGAGGCATATTTACCTTATTTAGTGGCTCGAATGATTTTTTTAAATAAGTAAATCACCAGCCTCCCAGACCCTCTGCTTTGAATCTGCCGTTACCCCGGCAACCCCATAGCATTTCCTATCAATTGGAAATCGTTCTCTATGAACAACTTTTAAATCGTCTTAAGGCTTATTTATACTCAGAAACCAGGTTGTCTGCGTGTGTGTCGCAGTGAGTGCAAATGTGAATTGTGATTGTCCCTCCTGCTTTGTGCCGTGGAATAACATAGCGCACGCCACGTTTCAATATTGGGCATAAATCAAAATATGTCTGCAACCAGCTTACTGCGACACACTGCTGCGGGGATTATAACCAGCCCTTTAGAGAGAACATACATTTTTGGAAAAGCCTCATAAGCTCTGAAAAAAAGAAACACTTTGGCTCATCCAGAGCTGCGTCTGGATGACGCTCTGATTTAGTGGGACTTCCTTGTACATTGTGACCGACCGGGCCTTTGGCTGGAGGTAAGGGAGGATGATGAACAGTCCTTCTAGGACTAAATTAAAATATCTGTTTAGGGCCACCTTTAGACCTCTTGACTGAGTTCCTTATATCTACCTTTATTTTCTGTGTATTCCATTTAGAGGGAAAACAGCTTTACCTACAACCTGTCTCTGACTGGCTGCCATGTCGTGGTTTCTTTGAAAAGTTCAGCTTGTTTCAATTTCAGCAATCAGCGCTCCTCTCTCTCCATGCAGTGCTGCTGTTTGACACCCTTAGCTCTTTCTAGTAGCATGAGGAGAGTGCAGAGCGGGGAACACTTTCATTCACCAGTGGCCGCTTCTCCGCAAGGTTTGCATAAGGATTCTGTTTGAATCCACCGCACTCGCCACGGACAACGCGTTCGGTCTGAACATTAGAGGAGACTTCACAAATGTAAAGCACTTGAAATGTGGAACGAGGAATGAACAAAAGGACAGACAAAAAAAGGAGAGCAGAAATGAAAACATGCTGAAAAAACGTGCCCAACATTAACAAAGGGTCTCATAAAACATTTCTGCAAAATTAAAACCTTTAAACTTTGCTAAAAGTTGTTACTCTCCACATGTAAAAGCCTGAAATGATATGTGGTATGGTTGGAATTTGGACACATTTCCCATCAGGATGAAGCACTCGCTCACAGCTACGAGCTGATTTTTAATTTAACAAAAACTCTGAAACGTCTCTGATAAAGGCTACAGAAAAGCTCTAAGACGGCGGCCATTTTGAGCCTTAGAAACCTAAACCATGGAATAAATGTCAGAAAATTCACTTTTTTTTTAAAAAACTAGAGTTGTCATTGAAAATTCTGACAAATGAAAAAATAAAATAAAACTAATTTTGAATAAGTTGAATTAGATGAGCTATTTGTATAATTTAGTGATACATTTGGCATTTATGTTATAGTTATTTTCTGTCGACCATGTGTCCGATTGTACCAGTCAATTTTTTTTTTCAAGAACAAAAATATCACTTTAATGATGTATTGATGCATTTTGTGTTAAAGGGTAAAAAAACCTCAACCTGCTCTATTTGTCTGACAGGAAGCTGCACGGAGCTGGATGATGTTTTACAAATGTCTGCAGTTAAGGTGCAACTTTACTAAGAGGAAATGTATCCAGATGTTAGTGGGGGTGCATAGATCTGAACCTTTGCGTGGATCTGGATGAACTAAGATACACTATATGTAAATAGAACAGGAACTTTCTAAAATATAGGGACATATTAATCAATAAAATGCTACTCATAATGGGAAATGAGCAGAAAGGTGTTTGATTATAGATGCCCTCACCAGCAGTATAGTGAAGTTTTCCAGGACGCTGTTCATCATGTATTTCTCAGGCAAATGTTTCAGCTTGTGGATGAAGTTGATCATGTATTCACACATGGGAGAGCGGCTGATTCTGTAGACGAAACGTCCGTTTTCAAACCTTGCGTACTCCGTCTGTTAGCCAGCAGGGAGAGAGCAGAGTTAGGGGGGATATCTGTGAAGATTCTCAGTCATCCAGGTCAAGCTTGACAAAGGTTCAGTCTAGGCAACTGGATGGGAAGGTTTCTAGAAGACGTTACGCCGCTCATATTCAGTATAAAATAAATCATTGATGGAATTTGTTTTGTTTAATAAACCCATCAATACTTTTGCATTATATTTTTTTTTAAAGTCACAAAATTAACTCTTAGGCATCTATAAAATGTGTCCAACAGACCCAGGTCTGAATAAAGAAAATCATCAACCAGATATGGTCAGGAGACATTTTTAATTA